CAGCCAAAACGCGTGCGGTCTGAACGTAGCATAACTATGTTGAGACCGCAAGCAGCAACAGCAGCCAAAACGCTTGCGGTCTGAACGTAGCATAACTATGTTGAGACCGCAAGCAGCATGAGCAGCCAAAACGCGCGCGGTCTGAACGTAGCATAACTATGTTGAGACCGCAAGCAGCAAGAGCAGCCAAATGGCGTGTGGTCTGAACGTAGCATAACTACGTTCAGACCAAACACACAGGATTTCAGAATTAGACATCCCTAGTTATTAATTTCATTCACTCACCAGATCTGACCGCCCTGTTTCACACCTATGAGTAGAGGTAATGCAGCCTGATGATATTGACACCGCATCAGATACCTAAACCCCATGTTAAGCAGGGGGAACTCTCTCTGATGGGGTTTAGAAGCCCATCAGAAAGCGTTCCCCCCTGATGTCATTTACGTTGAGTTGCAATAAATGCAAAACTCTCTGCAGGTTCTTGTCTTTGTCGTCCGCTTTATTCAGCTGGCTTTGAAACACACGCCGAGAAGGTGGGGGCTGGGTGGTGATGGTTACGGGGGCGAGAAACGCAAAAGTAAGGCAGTAGTTACTTTTACTAGTAAATAGTTACTTTTATTGTGGAGTAACTCAGTTACTAACTCAGTTACTTTTTGGAAGAAGTAACTAGTAACTATAACTAATTACTTTTTTAAAGTAATATGCCCAACACTGAATATAGTACAGCTGGTCCTCCATATTTGTGGCAGTAATCAGTGGTCTCAAGTAACGAAGTACCAATACTTCATTACTGTACTTAAGTACACTTTTCACGTAACTATACACTACTCCATTACTTATCTTTCTTCCTACTTCTGACTTCTACTCATTACAATTTCACACAAGTACCTGTACTTTCTATTCCTTACATTTTTAAAACAAATGCTAAAATATTCAGACACCCATGGCAAGAGCAGCCAAAACACATGCGGTTTGAACGTAGCATAGCCAAAAGGCGTGCGGTCTGAACGTAGCATAACTATGTTCAGACCGCAAGCAGCATGAGCAGCCAAAACGTGTGCGGTCTGATTATAGCATAACTATGTTGAGACCGCATGCATCAAGAGCAGCCAAAACGCTTGCGGTCTGAACGTAGCATAACTATGTTTAGACCGCAAGCAGCATGAGCAGCCAAAACGCGTGCGGTCTGAACGTAGCATAACTATGTTGAGACCGCATGCATAAAGAGCAGCCAAAACGCTTGCGGTCTGAACGTAGCATAACTATGTTTAGACCGGAAGCAGCATGAGCAGCCAAAACGCGTGCGGTCTGAACGTAGCATAACTATGTTGAGACCGCATGCATCAAGAGCAGCCAAAACGCTTGCGGTCTGAACGTAGCATAACTATGTTCAGACCACAAGCAGCATGAGCAGCCAAAACGTGTGCGGTCTGAACGTAGCATAACTATGTTGAGACCGCAAGCAGGATGAGCAGCCAAAACGCGTGCGGTCTGAACGTAGCATAACTATGTTGAGACCGCAAGCAGCAAGAGCAGCCAAAACACGTGCCATGCGAAGTTGTGCTACGTTCAGACCGCAAGCAGGTTGTTTTTTTGGGACATTTTGCTGCGCCTTGATGCGTGTCAATTATTGACTTAGCTTGTAAACTAGCTGCTCCTGCTGCCTCTGCTGCTTTAGGTGTGAGCGTAGGGTAAGACACAGCCATAGGCGGATCTACTGGGGTGGCATAGGGTGGCAAATGCCACCCTAAATGACAGCCTTGCCACCCCTGCTGCCACCCCTGCTGCCACCCCAGTTGGCAGTAGGGGCGGCGAGGCTTATAAATTATCGATCATTTGAGAATTACGACTGCTAATTTCCAATGTCGGACTGCAGTGAATGCAGCACGAGATGACGCGAGAGCGACTGAGACTGATTGTTTTGAAAACCGAATGAGGCAAAGCGAGGGAGCCAGGGGTCATAGGGAGAGGAGAAACGGGATGAAACAGGTAAAAACTGATTAACTATCTATCGAGAAATGAAATCATAATGAAAGCACAATGTTGCTAGCATAGCTGCAATGCTGATTTACAGATGATAAAAATCAGGTTGCAGAACGTTATTTCTCTAAGTATGATGTTAGTTAAGCCTGACGTCTCAGCCTCATAAAGACATATATGCGGTCAACTATGACAGAAAAGAGACTATCAAGTTTGGTTGTACTCAAATCAAAATGCACAAAGGCATTGGATCTAAATAAATTTGTGAAGCATTTTGCTGAGCAACATGGAAATCACTGCATTCAGCTGTTATAGTCATGTTAACTTTATGTTATGCTCTCTGGTGAGCCTTTACAGAGCTGTTACATTTTGTTTTGGCACCTGAGAAAATCTGATATTTCCTTTAATAAAACCAAAAGTGTTAAAAGTTAAAAATGTGATACTGGTGTGAATCCTGCTCAATATGAAGCAGTGTTGTTGTTTCTTTTTTGTATATATAGTATGAAACTATCCAGAAATGACCCGTATGAACCTACTCACAAGCAAAATGTATTTTTATGTCGCTTCTTTTCAGATTTGTGGAGATTTTGATGTAACATACAGAACCCGCCTTTTTGTTGATTTGTTGATACAGCAGTATGGAGGACCAACTCTGCCATATTTAAAAATAAATACAGAAATAAATAAATGCTCAATAAATAAATAAGTATACAATTAATTGCCACCAAAAATACAAACAACAAATAAATGTTAGTAGAAATTAAATTATACAGCTAGTCATAAAGGTATATAACTCTTTTAATTGGCTTCTTTATTTCTTTGCCTTTTTAATATTTTCTGATGGGTTAGTTTTTCTTTCTATAGTTTCTTCTTGTGCAAACGCTGCAAAGCTGCCTCTCTGACAGTCAATCTCACACATCTGCGACTCAGCACCTGTGTCTTACCTTAATACCTTTCCTGTCATAATGCCCCTCTAGAAGTAGTGTTATCATTCTTCTATCTCCTATTAAGTGAGATCACATTGTACGATGTATTTCTAATATGAACTGTTTCACATGAAACACTTACTGTACATACTATTCTCACCAAACTGTGATAACCTTGATTAAATTCAGTGTAAACAAATGCCATATGTTGCCACCCCTCAAAAATTCCTGCCCCCCTCGCCACCCCATAAATATTTTTCTAGATCCGCCCCTGATTTTATCTCACATTGAATACTGCATCACAAGTTGGTCTCTCACCACAGTTACCAATTTAAAATTAATTGAATCACTGTATAAAAAATCTCTAAAAGTGTTTGACCAAAAACCCAATTCTTTCCATGTATGTAATATTTTGAACAAGTACAATCTTTCAAATTTAGAAAATTGTATAAATTTTAAGTATGTATGCTTCATTTATAAAGCGCTGCATGGACTAGCCCACCTCCTTTGTCTACTCTGTTCAAACCCAAGACTTCAAGTGGCCTGAGAAGCAGGGCCTCCTCCAGAGGAGACTGTGAGGTTCCTCACAGAAGAACAACTTTTGGTCAGAACATTCTCTCTGTGAGAGCCACTAACATCTGGAACAGTCTTCCTCTGCACATACGGGAGAGCCCTACACTGATCAGCTTTAGAGCTCAACTCAAACTACAGATGAAAACAAACCAGTCATGTGACCACTAAACTCTTAACATTTCCTTGTGATGCTTATATTGTATATTATATGTTCTTTCTTATGTATTTGCCGGCCTAGGGACTATGGATGAAAACTAGCTTTGTAGCTATAATCCGGCATGTTTACATTTGTTTTTATACTGATGTTCATTAATGTGCTTTGTCCTTATTCAAATAAATAAAAATAAAATAAATTGTATATGTTATATTACATGATTTATAGAGTTCATAATAACTATGCAATGTGATGTGCCTAATTTTTTTAATCATAAGTTAAAGTAATCTACTGATGCTATGAAACAGCCAGTGTGTGTCAAAGTGATGAATTTATCTTTATTTTAAAAGTTTTAAGTCCTCCTGAAAATGAGAACATCATCGTTGTTCGATGCTGTTGCGCACATATTGTTTACACTGCGACCGGTCTAACTAGGGAGTACCAATATGGCGGCCGGTGGCCTCACTTCAACCCCTTACTACCAACTGCCTATCAGCAATCCAGTGAATAGACATCAGTGATCCTGACAGGAACATTTTCCAGATAATGACTGACTTTCCTCTTATCTTAGATGCTGCCTATTGTTCGGGTAAATGCTTACATTGGAAGACGTCATCCATCTCAGAGGAAACCTCCTCCTTGGTTGGATGGGCTGCTCTGCAGACAGTCGTCCTTATGCAGCAGATTTGGGAATCTTTGATAAAAAGCTAGCAAATATTTTATTAAATTGTTTTATTATAAAGAACGACTGAATAAGAGATGAAGTAACCGCAGATCACTTCTACATGGGACACATTCTAGGTGTCATTAGTATGTAAGGGCTCCAGCTATCCATTATTTTTCTCCTCATCAATTTTTTCTTTTAATTAGTTGATTGATCTAGGAGAAAATGTTATTATAAAACAAGAGTTTGAAAATGTAGGAAAAGAAAGCCTTTATTATGCACTTTAAACTGTAAAATATTTAAAAAGTGCACATACATCTAGATCTAATTATATATAAAATTCTCGCAGTGGGATAATCGTCCCGAAAAAGGAAAAATAAAATAAACTAAACATAGTTTAAGCCTGGCTTTAGAGCAGGCATCCCCAAACTCGTTCCTCAGGCCCCCTGTCCTGCAGGTTTTAGAGGTTTCCTTGCTCCAGCACAGCTGATTTTAATTGAAAGCTGATTAACAGGCTTTGGGTCTACTGCAATCATTATAAACAGCTGTGCTGAAGCAGAGAAACCTCTAAAACCTGCAGGACAGCGGGCCTCGAGGACCGAGTTTGGGGATGCCTGGCTTAGAGTAATTCCTCTTCTCCTGACAGACGCACCCCGGTTCATTTGAACTCAGACAAAAGAGAAAAAAAAAGCCACCAAAAGCATGAGATATCAACCATTTATTCTGGAAGATGTGCGTTTTCTGCAGCGATCTGATTGCACAGGTTCCTCCTTGCTCCTCTGGAGCAGACTGGATGTCTCAGATGGGGAGTAGAACAGCTGTTGTCACCTAAAGCTATCTGGATTTTCAACCTTATCTGACCCAGGCATCCAGCCTCAGCTGTTTGATATGACAGAAACCTTTCTGAATCTGAATTCTCCCCCTCACCGTTATATTTCTCCCTGATGGAAGCCTTCCTGAAAGCATTACAGCCGTTTTCTGATGGATGGATTCGATCTAAACACCAATATTCCCTCTCCTGCTCAAACACAGAACAGGCATCCCCAAAGTGGGTAGTGGAGGGCTGCTGTCCTGCAGGTTTCAGAGGTTTCCTGCTCCAGCACAGCTGATTTTCATTGAAAGCAATCATCAGATTCAGCTGTGCTAAAGCAGGGAAACCTGTAAACCCTGCAGGACAGCAGCCCTCCAGGACCAACTTTAGGGGCGCCTACTATAGCTGATAAATAAGTCAGGTAAAGCTTCTGGGTTGTGTGGGTCCTAGGAAGCCTTTATCTGCTTGGCAGTTCTGGTCTTAGGAGGGATGATCTCCACTTTGAAGGGGATGAAGAACTCCATCAATGATTTTGTGTCTTTTAAGTCAAGGGAATATTCCTGAGCGATCTTCTCAGCCGTCCACGTCTGAGGCTGGTGCTGGTGGCTGCCGAGGGCCTTGAGAGCCTCTGCGATGGTCAGTTTCCCTTTGGGAACGTCTGAAAGCTCTGCTAGACCAAACATGTGTCCTGGGAAGCTGACCCTGAGGGGCCTCCGCTCTGCTCCTTCAGCTGCTGCCACACTGTCTGACACCTGGGAGGGAATCACAAAGAACAACAGCTGAACACGTTTCTCAGACACACAGACCAGTTCATCTCCAGGACGCTTGTCCTGCTGGGAAATTAATCTCCGGGCCAATCCGAAAGCTCCTGAAGCCTCCATCGGGGCTTCTTCATTTAACTCATTCCAAAGCATGATGCTGCCACCACCATGCTTCACAGATGGGGTTCTGCGTTCAGGATGATGTGAACTTTTCACAGGTGATTAAAGCAGCCGAGTAGACCGACGCCTGCCAGTATTCTGTCAGACCAGCATACCTACAGTCAATACGCAAGACCTCCATTTTGAGTTTATCCTAGGGATGCACGATATTGGGATTTTGGCCGATATCCGATATTTTAAAACTCATGTAGCCGATCACCGATATTGATACCGATGTTAAAGCTGGACAAAAATAAGTAGTCATTGAAAATAGCAGTTTTGTTTTCCATTTCTGACACTTTGAAAAATAATATACTCAAATATATTTTCATATGCTGATATCAAATTGGTTTTTAAAAACGCGGTATCGATCTATTTTACTTTCAAAATCTCGTGGAATTTCATCGTTCTGTTACAAACTCTCGTGATATTTTGCAAATTCTTGTGAGATTTTGTTAGTAAAATAGATCGATACCGCGTCAATATATCAACATATAAAAATATGGCAGAATTTCGTGAATTTTCGGGGGATTTCGTAGCATAACGATGAAATATAGCAATATATCAGCATATGAAGATATTGGGATATTTTAATGCATCAATATTTTTTCCCTCGTCTTTAGAAGTTTTTAAGTCTGTAAAAAAGAAGTTTTTGAGGAAGAAGAAGGAGTAGTATTTTTTTTTTTTTTTTTAGACTTCAAATATCGGGTTAAATATCGGTGTGGTGGCCGATGTCCGATATTAAATTTTAAGGATGATACCGATCGGGGGCCGATTATATCGTGCATCCCTAGTTTATCTCTTTAGTTTTGTACAAAAAAAAAACTTCAAACTACCTCAACAGCCTCAATGTCATGTACAAAAAAAAATTTAAGGTCAGATTGCCATACACTTATAAAAAAACACCAAAAAGTAAGTAATTAAATTGTTTTTTTGTAAATAATTAAAGGGATACACGCCCCTTGAGGTGGTTCAAAGTGTGTTTTTCATACAAAACTAAAGGGATAAACGGGTATTGACTATGTGTATACTGGTCTGACTGGGTATGCTCATCTGACAGAACACTGGGTCTTTCAGAGACCAGCCCCAGAGAACCAAGAAACAAGCACCCATCTAAATACATAAACTTTAGGTTTGTAAATGGTAAGTAAATGGAAAATGGCCTGTACTTATATAGTACACTACATTCAGTAATTCACCCATTCACTCACACAATGATGGTAGCAAGCTACATGGTAGCCACAGCTGCCCTGGGGCTCACTGACAGAAGCAGGGCTGCTGGTGTGACAGATCAACTGGGGACGAGATTAACTGGTTAGAATCTATGCGCACCGCAGATGTTACTGAAGCTTAGGTGGCTGTGTTGATGCCTGGCGAAAAAATATTCCTAACGTAACAAAACTGTTTGCCAAAAAAAATCAACCGACATATCTAATGAATAAATTTCTGTTTTGTTTTGTTTATTCAGATAAGAACGATGTGGTAACGAACTTCTATCCTCAGCAAAGCAGAATCCCACACAGAGAACAGCGTCGTTCACAAGTGTAAAGAAAAAATTCACATAAAAGTCTGTCTCACACTGGAGTGTCATTTCTCCTGTTGAACGATAAGCTATAAATGAAAACCTGTAGCTTGGACAATAAAGTCCGCCCACTTTATAAATTCCTGAATGTAAAAATAAATCCATTAATGAGGCCTGTCATTCAGAAGGCACGTGTGTAAGCAGCACATTTTAAAGAAAAACTGACTGCAAACAGAACAATTGGGCTTCTCATCCTTCCAACTATTCCCACTTTATTTTTTGAATATTGACAAAAAGTTATTTTCTTAGATTCCATGCTCTCATCTTTCCTTTATTCTCCTGTCTGGACACAAATACAAGTCTCTACAACGGTGTTGTTTTTTTTTTAGTGGATCCCAAAACTTTGTTCCGTATGATGAACTGTATCAGGTCACACACCTTTATTTTTATTGCTATTGTGTTCAGTCTGTTTATAATATCCAGTTATGAGACCATAACGGGCTGCTGCTGAACTGGTTTTACTGCCCCATATGTAAAAAGGGGTAAAATGTATTTACTTAGGCGCATTGCAGCTAATAGAATCTGAATCACATACCTGTTGATGCGGAAACTTTACTTTTTCTGTTTTCACAGTAGAATTTAAATCCCAGAGTTCGCAGCTACCGCTATGGTGTGGGTATGAGTCGCCATGCCTGCTTTATGTTTTATCTTGTAGAAAAATGCAGATTTTCTTAAACGAAGAACTAGATTAATTTGTGACGGGGTCCACAGCACAGCTGTTTGGAGAGATTAGTTGGCTGCGTGGTTGCCCGATCAAAATACCGCAAATGTAAACAAACGGGTCAGTATAAAGGTTATAATTTATCCTGGCCTAATATCTATCCAACATACGTCTGTTGTCTGTGGATAATGTGAAATATTATGAGTCATTTAAGTTTGGGGATCAAATAAACGCATCGTGAGGATCTGAAAGCGTCAGAATCTGCAGAGTGTCACAGATTAACTTGTGATCCAGCGGGATCTGGAGGAATATGGGCTGTAAAACACTCCATCTCCTGGGATGTTTGGATGTTATTATCTTATCCTCAATTAGGGTTGTAGCAGGCTACTTTAAATTTTTAACTGTTATTGTTGATTATTTTTCTTACGCAATTACGAACCTGTCATGATGTGTGACCATGTTCACGCAGTCAGCTATCATCTTATTCCCTTCTATTGCTTTGAGGACGCCACATTCTTTGGTTTGCATGCAGAACAACTTTAAATCATTCACGTTTTTCAAGTTACTGGCAATAGAGTATTGCTTTGTCTACTTTTTACTATTGGTCTAAATTGTTTGCTTCACTGGTACAATTAGAATGACAAAAAGCAACTCAGCACAAACCGTTGATTGCGAGAAAATGTTTGTCATTTCAGAGTTAGGAGATAATATTATCTTGACCATCTGTGGAAAATCTGTTAAAATAAAACGAGGGCATAAGAGTATAACTGGGATCGAACCCGCGGCCGACGTTGTTTTAATTTGCAAAGCGTCTGTTTATCTGCCGAGCCATTGATACGTGCACTTCATCTGACCCCACCTGCGATAATGAACCTGTTGCGTGTGTCTGCTTTGCCTGTTGCAGAGCTGATCCAGATCAACTGGTGACAGTTAATGTTTCAGAGTCCGCTGTTCGCTTAAAACATGTTTGAATTCCAGAATATCAGATATTATTACTATTTTTTCCTTCTTTACTCTTAGAACAGAATGGGGCCTCCCCGTTAAGAGATAGACAGTAGGTTATGCTATACTATTAAAAGAAAAAATAATAACCAGATCTTTTTTTTTCCGATCAGATATCTACCGTAAATTCTCCCTGTTTTATTTATTCATTGCTTGGCAGCAGTTAGCCTGGAGGCTGTGCTGCTTCTTTTAATGCTTTAGTACAGCAGGTTCTGCATTTGTTCGCCCCGATGCCCAAACTATAACATATATTCACACAATATATAAACTGAATTCAGAGATTTCACTCTTCCCCGCAGCAGTTATGTTATTTTGCTTTGTTCCTGCAACACATCTTAAACTTTAAAGACATTTATAACTCCTCTGGGAACGAGTTGGACTGTAATTAATTAGTTTCCCTCCATATAAACAGTCGGCGCTTTTCAGAAAAAAAAAAGAGGAAATTTTTATTTTCGCTCGTTTTAACTTACAAGACATACAGGACGCGAAAAAAATGGAAAAAATACACCGTTAGTTGTTCCCATTGACCTTTTATTGCACTGGCTGTTTTTACTTCTCATACAGCTTTCTGTGGTTTTTCTACTCTGTTCTTTCTCTCATCGCTGAGGCTCTGAAACAAACAGATAAACAACAGCAGGACAAGTTCCTCAAATCTCTGTGTGCGGGTTTGGAGAAAACCCTAAAACATGCTATATGCTTTCTTAATGCAATTAAATACCTTTGTGATGGTGACTTCTTAAAATCTCAACGTATTTCGTATCGATCAGCTAACAAAATAATTTGTAGTTCTTGGAGTCTACACGCAGTTTACTTCCTGTTTGAGGCGAGGGGTCCTGAAAAGCCCCGCCCACAGACACATCTGCAAATATCAGCGGTTTTCCAGCTGCCGTCACCAGTTGATCTCCTCCCCAGTTGATCTGTCACACTGTACACTGGCGCCACAATCAGTAAACAATGCATGTGAAGTGTCTTCATACAACACAACGACCTTCAATCCTTCAATTTCAGGGCAAACTCATACATCTGACGCCACTGTCGCCCATGTAATTGTATTTGTTCATTGTTAAGATCTCATACATGCATGGAAAAGTGTTTTATTTATGAAACAAGTGCGAATCACAAACTTTTAAGTATGGCTCTACAAATTCAGATGAAGCTATTACACTCCTGACCAGCAGGTGGCAGTAATGCAGCTGAAATATACAGCATTGGATTGATGGCTATTTTTATCTTCTCCTTCTACTTTAATACTGGCTTTTGAATAGCTTACATGTGCATTACTGCCACCAACTGGTAGGGAGTGGAACAGCTTCAAACGTTTTTTTTTTTTTTTTTTTTTTTTTTTTTTTACAGTGTCCTGTCCTGTAAGAATAATTGTCTTGATACCAAAAAGATTTTACTTTCATAAGTGGAGCAGTAGGGCTATCGCCATAGCTTTCCGCTTGATTTATGCATATAAATTGCTTTATTATAATTCATGCAGGGAGTTTTACAGATTATATGGACACTGCAATGTAAGTAGAACAGGAAAGGAAAAGCAGAAAAAGAAAAGATGAAAGAAAGAGGAGATAAAAGGGAGATTCATTCTGCTTCATCACCTCTACAGAGCTGTAAAAAGAACAGAAGAACCAACGGATATGGTATAAAACACGACTCTTCAATGTTTTCCAAGCCAAGGACCCCCAAACTGATGGTGGTCCTATAGTCACTCTATTACAGGAGGAGTAATGTTACTAAAGTAATTTCTCCCTGATATTATTAAAGTATTTTAAAGGGGTTTAGACATACTGGAAATGTAATGGCTAGTGAAAGATAATGAGGCATCTGTTAGCTAAACTCTATTGATGATGCCCTGATGCTGTCTCACAGAATACTGACACCTGCTGGGCATTTAAAGACACTACAGACAGCTGATTTTACAGACTTTGATTTGATGACCTAGAACAATGATATCATATAAGTTATTGTAGGTTATATTGTATCATTTCATGTTTAAATTTAAAACATCTTTGATATTTTTAGATGCAGCCAATAAATTATGTGAACATATATCATAATGTGAACATTTAGGGGAAAATGTTAATGAGGATGTTTGTGGGCTAGGATATAAAGTACAACATAAACAGTAAATAAAATGAGAGTCTATTTAAAGTGGACTTTATTTCAGATAAGCTGAGCGCTTACTGAGAGGAAAAGGATGACAGAGCTAGGGACAGGGACAGGTGAGGACAGGCAGGACTCACACTGACCTCTGCAGCAGCAGCAGCTGGATCCGTGGACTCCACATACACAGACCTCAGGTGACCCAACAACGACTCGTCCTTCTTCTTCACCAACTCCGCCGCTGGAACACACCAATAAAACCGGTTAATGTCCAGAAGCCAGGAGAAGCGAGAACGTGACCCCTGCGGTTACACAAGCCGCCCAGCCTCTCACCCTCAGCGCTGACGGAGGGCGGCGGCGCCCTGTCGGGGTACCGGGGCGCAGCTCTCGGTTTATCCTTGGAGATCTCTCGCAGCGCGCGGTTCTCCACGTTAAAGTTACGGAACATCCGCGCGAGCCGAGCACCCATGCTGGATATGTCCCGAACGGACAGATGCCACTGTCAATAAAGTTTATTCAAACAATCTACGGCAAGCCAGAAGGTTGTTTTCACAATGGAACAAAGAAACATGCAGCGAAACCTCGCGTTTGGAGGCCTACACTGCTGCTGACAGAACTGCTTGTAAGCTTTTATGGCAAACGATGGCTCTGTTCGAAAACCTAGGACGGGTCCTCCAAGGACGCGGTCTACCTAGACTGGATCCTTCGAAGTCCTTGAAAATAACCGGAAGAGTTTTGGCTGTAAATTCCATAGATATCCATAATAAAGGCTAGATGTCTCGTCCGCGCTGCTGGCCAATGGGGGTCGACGTCCGCACGTGGCGGCCATCTTGCCACAGGCCGCTCGCTCATTCGTAACATTGTGTTTTAATATGGTAAGCCAAGAAGGTAGTGATGGGTCGGGCAACACCGATGCGTCGGCGCATGTGTCGGTCTCATAGAGCGAAACCTGTGTCGACGTGTGTATCGCTACGGAAAAGTCACGTGACCGAAACAGTTCCTGCATCGGTCACGTGACCGATGTTTCGAACTGATTGACAAACCTTTATAAGGATGCGCATCTGCCAAAACAATCTTGCGTGTTTTGCGAACAGGGACGTGCAGAGGGGGGGGCTAAGGGGGCTTGAGCACCTGCCCCTTTTGCTCCATGATCCCAATGTGCCCTTTTGGTCCTTTTTTTTTTTTTTTTTTATCTTAATTTTTTTTTATTTGACACATGTACTGAAATTATTATTATTATCTTTTTTTTTGGCAAGAAAAATGTAACCCATGTTAAAATCTAACATAAATAGGGATCTAACATAAATAGGGATAAGTAGTTGGTTAAAAGTCTGTAGACAGAAAATAACGTCGCTGTCCCTTTAAGAAACCAGCGTTATAGGTGCAGTGTCTGGGTGACGCTGCAGTACGCAGACCAGAAGGAGAGAGCAGAGGAGGAATCGGAGAAAAAAAAGAGCGGTGATTAATTAACGGTTAAAAGTTAATATTTTAGTAAACAAAACTTAATTTACCTGGTCGGGAACTGACGAGGATTTTATGAGAACTAAGCCTTATCGGTTTAGTGAGTTTTGTGTTTATTTTTCTGTATTTTCATTGTGTTGTAATTTTTCTGTTGGTGGAGAGTTATTAACTGTTATTCAGTTAATATATGAAGTTTATGAAGAAGAATTTATTTGCATAATTTGAGTATTTAAAAAGAGTTTTATTGTGTTTTTGGCCTGTTACACAGGTCAGGTTTTTTGTTTGGATTGGAAGCTTGGTCGGAGCGAGGATTACCCCTTGCTCACACTGGCTCCGGTGCGGTTACCGAGCCGACTGAGACCGCAACTCCCGCACACCCCCTCTCACTGCCATGTGCGGCGTGCACATTCACAGACGGGATTCAAGATGGCGAGCCAGACCTAGAACTTCAATTCATCTTGTCCATTGAGGGAGGGACTTTCCCGCGTGTGGTAATCCCCTGCCAGAGCGGTAGGGATATCAGAAACTAGGTTGAACTGAACTAAAAAATAACTGGAGACTGATTGAATTTATAATTTTTTTTGGACTGAATCAAACTGATTCTTTTCGTCGAACTGATATTTACATTTGGACTTGAACTTGAATTTAAAGTGCCATACTTTGATTTTCATATGTTTAATTTCTGAATGTGATTTGAGTAATTGTGGTCCACTTGATTTAACTGTGTTGAAGGTATTTTGCAACCTGTAAAAGAAAGGAAAAGAGTTAACTCAGGAAAAATTTAAATCTTAAAATAGGTGCAACCTATGAAAAAGATACTGGTCTAATTAATCCAAATTAGTCTAATTAAAATAACCTAGGTGAACGAAAGAGTGATATATTCTTTTTTTTCCTTCTCCCTTTTCCTCCCCATTTATACTTACCTCATTATTAAGAATCTGCAGAGTATTTTTGGTTTCATGTATTGTATTTTATGTGTGTTTTGCATTCATTAAATTGCCGGCCATTTTCACTTAAGCAGCGGTCTCTGGTGCTATTATTTTGCTCCCCACTCCTTCGAGCCTAGAACTGGTCCAGTGGCGCAGTTAGTGGTGTGATACTGGTGCTACAAAAACACCTCCGGTCACATTGTTACCTTTGACCTTTTGCCGGTGACGACGCACTTGCCTCTCGCACAGTCAGATAAGGCGGCTAACTGTGGAGCTAAAGGTAGCGAATATTCCACATTACACTGTGGCCGCTGCTCATTTGGCCCTAAGCAAGATCAACCATGATCGGACGGATGGCTATGTCTTCAGTCTGCACCGCCTCTCCAATGTCAACCTGAATAGAGATGTAAGTGAAACCAAATGAGCCCCATGGATGATGCAGTATTGTTTGATCTAAAACACGTTTGCTCTGTGCTTTTAGTCTTTTACATTGAAAATTATGTTTTTTAATTCACAAAAAACTGTTCTGTAATGATTAAAGAACAGTTTTTTTGTGAATTAAAAAACATAATTTTTGGTGAAAATACTGGAGTAGGCTTCCTACTTGTCAGACAACGGAAAACTTTGAACGTTGTATAATTTCTCTACTTTAGCAAAGAGTAGCGGTTTAAACGGAGGAAAGTATAGGACGCGGCGCGCCTTTCTCTGAAGAACTACTGAGCGGGAGGAGACAGCCAGGTGAGGAAAAGCTGTTCTTATCTATCGATTCAGTATTTTTATCATACAGACATTAGGCTGTTGTTCTTGTGTTTCCCTTAGCTTTGATTGTATGTCTCACAATTTTGTCATTTATCATTGTTCATTAAACTCTGAAAGCTATGTGACTTTGTTAATATTCTGTCCTAAAATGCGATAAGATGTGCCCTTTTTTTTTTTTGAGCACCTGCCCCTTTAGTGGTCTCTGCACGGCCCTGTTTGCGAATATAAAATTCATCAAAAATTATGGAGCTTCCTCAAGCAAAAAGAACGGTTTCTGCCGTGTGGGACCACTTTGATGTCATTTCGGAAAATAAGGTATTTGTTTTAATTTCCTTGTTTCATCCTGTTCCTCTCAGAGTTTCCACTTGATTTTCTGAGTAGAAATTCATTTCAAAGTGACCTTTAGTTTACTGTTCGTGTTATTTTCTACAGGTTAAATGTCGCAATTGCTCAACAGAGCTTGCATATTTAAATAACAGCACCTCCTGAATGCTGAGGCATTATAGGGCCAAGCATGAGAGTGAAATCCATGATACACCCATGATGAACTCAGGTATACAGGTATTTTACAACTTACTGACTTTGTTTTATTGATAATTCTGAATAATTTACACTTTCTCATTTTTAACCATCAAGCTTCCAGGAAGCAGATGCTTGATGAGGCTGTGCTTAATTTCATTGTAAAGGACTGCCAGCCCCTCGCTGTTGTGGAGAATGAAGGCTTCAGGGAGCTGCTTCAGCTCCTGGAGCCCTCATATGTTTTGCCAACCAGAAAGGTTTGTGTGGAAATTATCTAAAGTGGTAGTTTATTCATCAAATTTATTTTAAATATATTGATTTTCTTCTGGTTTGACTTGGTGTGGTTTTCAGACCATCAAACAACTGTTGGCCAAAAAGTATGAGGAGGAACGGGAACGAGTGAAAATGGAAGTACAGCAGACTGCGGACAGAATGTGCCTCAATAGTTGGAAGCTCAAATGAGCCCCAGCCGGGAACATCTTCACAACAGCTGTCTGCCCCCAATTCAGGCATGATATTGAGCATCATTTCTTTGTTGTTTGTAAATCATGTACTAAAATACTATTTTATTTTATTTTTTTAAGATGACCTTTGGGAACATTTTGATCTCGAAGTGGGGAGGCAGACCAAAAGTGCCACAGCTGATGCCATCCTTGAGGTGCAGAGATACATGGCAGAGGGCAATATTGCGAGGTCCCAGGATCCTCTTTTATATTGGAAAAACCAAAGGACGGTTTATCCAAACTTCTTCCGCCTGGCCTTAAAATTTTTGTGCACTCCAGCTTCATCTGTGCCGTGTGAGCGGGTGTTTTCCACAGCTGGAGAATTAATATAAAAAAAGCGTAACAGACTGAATTTCAAAACGTTGCAACAACTTATTTTTTTTAATAAAAAATTGTTAAAAAAATACCAGTGAACAAGCATCTTCATTTACTACATGTTTACTTAGAGATTATTACATTATGATGCAGGTTCTCATTATTCATTGACTGTGTCTAAAATATCAAATATGTTTTAATAATAATACAATGCATCATACAATGAATTGCATCATATTAGTGTATATAATAGGTCATCAAATCAGTGTCAGTTAACTCTGTCAACTAGGTTGCCTGTAGGGATTTTTAATGTCCAGCAGGTGTCAGTATTCAGTGACACAGTATCGACACAGTATCAATACAGTTTGGTAATGTGTCGAAACGTTTCATGACGCCTCATCTATGGCAAGCCAAGAAGGTCATATTTCGCATTGAATTCTCGCGTTAAGATTGAAGTTAACCCGCAAAAAACGCGCGTTCCCCCGAGATTACGCCGCTTTTTACGCCGTCTTTTACCAACAAGCGCCGCCTTTTACGCGCGTCATGATAGTACTGCAAGACGCGCGTTAAATACGCGCGTTGTGTCGGTCAGAACGCGCGTTAAATACGCGCGTTGTGTCGGTCAGAACGCGCGTTAAATACGCGCGTTGTGTCGGTCAGAACGCGCGTTAAATACGCGCGTTGTGTCGGTCACAACGCGCGTATTTAACGCGCGTTTTCCTAATATGATAATGATGTCCTTCCTTCTTTTCCCACAGCCAATGCATTTGAACTGGTTGCATCCAATGGCTGATCAAGGCAGCCAGACCAAGAAAGTTCAGCATAGATCTGCTTTGTGGAAAAAGTTGCAGCATTGCCAAAATTCACTGCATTGCCGTTTCACAAAGACTTAATGTGAGGAATATATCCACTACATACACTTTGCTGTTATTTTGAATCCATTCCATGCCTATTTTCATGTAAAAACGTTTTGCATCGCCAACTGATGTTTTGTATTTACCGGGATTACGAGGAATGTTTCACCACTTATCATCACCGAGA